TCTGCAGGCCAACGCTCTATCCACTGAGCCAAACCGGTTTCGGCAGCTGAATGCTCTTTTAAATGATATCTGTAAATTCCGTTTATTTGGCAAAGTAATAGCTAAAATTTATGTCATTGAATTTCAGAAACACGGACTGCCTCACACTCACATATTATTGATATTAGATAATGAGTCCAAATTACGTTCCTCTAATTAATTCCCTTTCAGTGTGCACGAATTTCGTGCACCGAGCTACTAGTCTACATATATAAAAGGCTAATATGCTAAATGTCCCTCCACCTGTCCAACCGGTCGCTATGATGTGCACTGACCACCAGGGGGCAGATGCTTAACTCAGTACAAGCATAGAGAAATCATACTCAAGGTTAAAATCATTCTGAAAAAGATTGTTAGTAGTTATGAGTAGTTAAAGGAAAGGAAAGAAGATTGAAGCTTTCATCAAGAATTAACTCCTTTTTTTTAGTTACTGGGTTGTTAAATATGAGTTTATTCATGTAAATTTTGGCTCTGGTTTCTAGGTCTTATTATTTTTCTTTTATAGTTTTCATATAACTTTGAATTATGCCAGAATTTCAGCAATAGGTCCTAATTCCAAAATCCGTGTCACATCTCAAAGGAACAAGAGGAGTAGAAAACAGAGAGAAGAAAGGAGGAACCAAAGTAGGGGAAACAAGAAGAAAAGAAGTAGGACATGGAAGAGGAAAGGATAACCAGACACTTCTCATTCATTTTGACATAGCAGGTGGACTCCCAACTTTTTTATATAAAATATTCAAAAGTGAATCCTCGGTGTATACATAGTAGATAACAGGAGGACCCTACTCCTGGAGAACTAAAAAGATATATACTATGCAATCTGTGATTAAGACAAAAAATATTTAGTTTTAAATTTAAATAGCCAGGATGGTGTGGTTCAGTGGTTGAGCATCAACCGATGAACCAGAAGGTCAGGGTTTGATTCCTGGTCAGGGCACATGCCTGGGTTGCGGGCTCAATCCCCAGTAGGGGGTGTGCAGGAGGCAACCAATCAAAGATTTTCTCTCACCATTGATTTTCTATTTTTTCTCTCCCTTCCTCTCTGAAATTAATATATTTAAAATTGTAAATACAACCTTTTAATATATTTAAACTTGATTTAAAAATAATACAAATTAATTTTCTCATGTAATTAAAAATTTTGGCTCTCAGCTTATATGAATGACATTTAGTAGAGTGAAGAAATGGGAGAATATGCTGGTGTTGACTTTGTAAGGTCCTGAGCAGGGGGTTTTATGGGAATTGAGCAGATTGGTTGTTAAGACTGGAAGGGAAAAAAGATGAAGAGGTTTGCCCCTGTGGTTATTTTAGGTTTGCTGTACTACTCTGGTCTACTGGGCAACCTCTTTAAGGATCTGATCATGCTAATCCAGAAACATATTAGACTAGGCTCAGGTGATGAGATTCCCACTTCTTGAATTGGTCTGCCTGTACTTATCCTACAGAAAAGTCCTGTTTGAGCCACCAGGGTTGTAATTTTCTTACCCCAAGGCTATTATTGTGAAAAGATCTGCATATATAAAAGCTAAGTGACCAGAACGCTGGAATGACTGGAACAACCAGAATGACTGGCCACTATGACGGGCACTGCGGCCGGCCAATGGCAAAATTGAGGGCCGGCTGGCCAACCTCCCGCAACCTCTCCCTCTAGCCCGGCCCTGCCCCCAACTGCCCTCTCCCAATCAGGGCTGGGGCCGGCCGGTCAACTGCCCACAGCCCCTCTCCCTGGCTGGCCCTGCCCCTGATTGCCCCCCCCCCCCATCTTGATTTGGGGGTGGGGCCGGCCAGCCAACCTCCTGTGACCCCTCCCCCCAGCCTGTCTGGCCCAATCGGCCCTCATCAGGGCAGGCTGGCCAGACCCACCCATGCATGAATTCATGCACCAGGCCTCTAGTATTAATATAAATAGAAGGCATTGCTTAAGCCCTACTTCATTGGTTTGATGAAGTTTGAGGAAAATAGGAATAAGTCAAGTGTGTTGAGGATCAGTCATTTCACATTTATAAAGCATAAAGCTTATTAAAGGTTTTGAAGTGAAAAGATAGTATATGAATACAAAACCATTGTTATCACTGGTAACATGTACAGATATCTTGCCAGTGTTTTTCTGATTCAGACTATTAAGCTTCATATTAGAATGTGATAAAAAGATAGTCATTAAAAAGACCTTGTGAACAGGCAAAGCTTGAAAAACAGTGACTAAGGAAATTTCACCCCCAAAACAATCACATGTTAGGGCGCTTTTTCCAAATGATAAGAACAAAGTTAGGATGTAATAATAGTCATAGTAGTTGAAATTTAATTGAGGGCTGAACATTTATTAGGCAATATTCCACCCACTTTCAATGTAGTTATTATCTTATGTAATTGTTACAAAACTCCCCTGCAATAAATACTGTTTTATTCCTGTTTTATCAGTAAGGATTAAACAAACCAAAAATTCCACAGAATGTACTGGTGTATACAAAGAGAATGAAAAGCATCTGAATTTGAGAGTGTAAGAGTTAATCTCATACATCCCAACATGAGGATGTTGAAAGGATTTAGTAGATACAGAAGACAATAAAGTTTATCTACATATATAAAATCCAAGCAACTGGACCAATGGAACAACTGGAACAATCGGAACAACCAGAACAACCTGTCGCTATGACATGCACTGCGGAGGCCAACCGGCCCCATCAGGGCCCCGATCGGCCCCCAAACCTCCTGTGGCTCCTCCCCCGGGCCTGGCC